AATAATACTTAAATTAAAGTTAATTTATAATAACTAGCTAGTTTAGCTTCTTATAATAATATTAGGCTTAAAAAAAAGCCTAGCTTATTTAATAATTTATTTTTAAAGTAAAAAACTAAAGCTATTAAAAAAACTAGAAAAAATAAGATTTTTAGTTATTTAAAGCTTGCTTATTTATTTAGGTACTCTAAAGCTATTATAAGCTATTCTAGTACTTTTACACGTAGTTTAAGTGGGAAAACCCTTTATATAAGAAGAAAAACCCTTTTACTTTTATTTTAAGTTATTCCTACCCTACTATAACCTATAATTATATAAAGTATATTCTAAATTATATAGGTTAAAGGTATCTATTAGGCTAGCTATTCTAATAGCAGTTTATTAAAGTATATATAATAGAGATTTAAGCTAAGTTTAGGTTAGCTTTAATATACTAGTTAGGTAGCTATCTTAGTATTTAGGTTTTTAAGGCTATTACGTAGTTTTCTCTAGGTATTATATTATACCGTACTATTTTAGGCTTAACGTAACGCTATATCCTAAATATTTCCATAGCCTTTAATATTAGGCTAGCCTTGTGACGGCTCCTAGCTCTCTTCACGAGCTTATTAGAGCCGTGCCTACGTCGGCTCGTTTTCCAGGCGTTTCCCAGGTGAATTTAGCTAACGCGCGTCGTTTTTTAGGCTTTTTCTCGTCTCTTATAGCCCCTATAAGCTTTTTCTCAATCTAAGGTGAGTTCTTACCCGGCGCCGGCCTAGCGCCGGGTATTTAAAGCTTAATTTTAAAGAAGATATAGTATTTTTAATCTTTTATAATCTTTTATAATATTTTCTATACATTTATAATTATAAGCTAACTTTTAATAGTAAGATATATTTATTTAGTAGGCTAATTCCATTAAATCTTTCCTAATTCTTTCTATAATAGCTCGAAAATATTTAGCTATTTTAATTACTTTAAGAGCTATAAAAGGGAATTTTAACTAAAAAACTAATATTATTACTAAGTAAAGAACTGCTTTATTATATAAAAATATTTAAATTATTTTATTATTAAAAAACTAGGTTAAAAATAAGAATAAAAGGGTGG